ATCTATCTATCTATCTATCTATCTATCTATCTATCTATCTATCATCTATCCATCCATCATCCATCCATCCATCCATCCATCCATCCATCTATATACATATATATATATAATTATATTCATGTTTGTTGTGTTTTTCCAGAGCTGCAGAGCCTATCAGCACCAGAACTGAGTGAGACCTGTCAGCTCCTGGACAACTTCTTGGACAACCTGAACAACCAGAAGTTTCCTTACCTCAGCACCGTCACATTTGGCCAAGGTACATTTAATATATAAAGATCTAACATATTGGTGYAGTGTGTGAATAACAATCAACTAATGCATCTACTCAATGTTTGCAACAGATGAAGATATCAACAAGACCGACTTTGAATATCAGGACGGCTATGAGCCAGCTAATTTTACCCTAGAGCACATGACATCTTTTGATGAAGTTGAGTACCTGTCGGACAATCAGTCTGACAGTGAATGCAGCTCCTCTGACAACAGTATGTATTGCACAATCGGTCCAAACATTAACAGAACAATAAGATGTTGATGGCTTCTATTGCACAGGAATGATGTTGATGTTTCTGGAATGTGTCTCTTGTGTTCAGGTGGGACGTTTAGCTTCATGAGCTCACCAGAGTCTGGCAGCAGTGAATCAGACCCAGAGTTTTCATATCCCCCAATATCAAGTGAGGAAGCAGAGAAACTCACTGTTTGCAAGGTTTTGAGATACAGTGTGACTTAGTTTTAACCACGAACTCATTGTGATGACAGAGGTCCACATCAAAACAGAGGGAGGAGAGGGTTGTGTGAAGCGACCGCGAGGACGACCTCCTAAAATCAGCCGAGAGCACAGCAGCAGCTTGTATGACAACCCAAAGAAAAGCAAACATGGTACTTATCAAACAAGCATTGTTCCACAGCCATGCCTGTACACAGATAAAATGTTTTTATAGATCAAACTTTGCATGAAATTAGCATGTTTCCCTCAGGCAACAAATCATATCTGTTTGCTTTTCATACTCGTGCTAATGCTGCCGTGCACCTGGACACATTTATCTGATTTCTCCTGGTCCTGCAGCGCCTCGAGGCACTCATCTGTGGGAGTTCATCAGGGACATTCTGGTCCACCCAGAGAAGAATCAGGGCCTGATGAAATGGGAGGATCGCAGGGAAGGTGTATTCAAGTTCCTGAAGTCGGAGGCCGTGGCTCAGATGTGGGGCCAGAAGAAGAAGAACAGCAGCATGACCTACGAGAAGCTCAGCCGTGCCATGAGGTGAGGTCACTGCAGCAAGCAGACAACAACCTACAAAAACACTTACTGCTATTATACTTTGGATATTAGTGGCTGCCACCCAGATTTGAAATCTCTCTCTAAAATTACTTCTGGGACCTGATGGTAAACCTTCTGCTCTTGCAGGTACTACTACAAGAGAGAGATTCTGGAGCGAGTTGATGGTCGAAGACTCGTCTACAAGTTTGGGAAGAATTCCAGCGGTTGGAAGGTTGAGGAGGGTGGCCCTGGCATGTGAGGCGTCAATCCTTTAGTGGGTAGACCATGAAGCTGCTCAGAGCAGAGCATCAGGAACCAGAAAAACCTGTCGGATCTGCCTGAGAATAAATCTCCCTATAAAGTTTTAGACACAAACTTCCTCCTGGAGGAAGGTGTTGCAGAAAATGTAAGCCATTGTGTTTGGCTCTAGTAGGTTTTATGAACCAATATGTTAAAATTTTTTATGTTTCACATGTCTGATTATCAACACAGAAATGATAAAAGTTTCTATGATGCTCATGATCTTCTGTAAACAAAGTCAGTAATTCACCTTTTTTGTAGTCTGTACTTACTGTAGGTTTCTTGGAGTAGTAACTCATCTTCATCACAGTCTCTATAGTTTTTTTGTAATATTAAATTACAATGATTTGCTCTGTTGTCACACTATTTTCTTCAGTGTTCTGTCTAAATCTATCTAAACATATCAATTGTGTATCTAAAGGTAGAAATACATTTGAAAACATGGTGATGACAGGACAAGGGTAAAAATGTAGGCGATGTTATTTCACAATAAGAAAAACAATGTACACTACATATCTATTTGTATGACTTGTTATAAAGTGTGTTTACACAACATATAAGTAAAAAATAGTTAAACTATCACATCTTATAGCCAGTATGAGTTTTTATGATTGTTTTGATTTAATTAGTATTGCATTCATGTCTTTTGTTCAATGATTGTATAAATATGAGAAGTAAATCTCATTATGTAAAAGCTTAATTGTGTGTTTCTATATTTTTGATACAGTATATTGTATATTTTGTAACCTCATTCGGGTTTTATAAAGTTTATTTTTCATTCACATTCACACTAAGACCGTTTGCTATTCTTACTTCTGTTCTACAGTTTATTTTGCATTGTTTATCTCCATATAACATGCCAATAGACTGTACAACATTTGTTCAATAATTGTTTATATTTTTATTGTACTCTTTATAATAAAGTACAACATGCAAGAACTCACTGGGCTTTGAATTTTTTTTGCACATTAATATATTAGGATTAGTAAACAATACTTGATGGTATCACAGAATATTTGGTTTAACTTTGTGTTTTTAACGAAACATTAACATTACTTAAAAGTTCAGAGTTGAAGAACAACGGGGTGGAAAGATGCAACAAAAAAAAGAAACAGTACAGAGTAACCTTGAACACAACCACTGACTCCATTCTAATTTATTGTGCTTATTTGCACTAAATAAACACTTTGTTTTCTTAAATACACATATATAAGCTTGGTGTGGTTTCTGGTCAGGTCCTGGATCCAAAATGCTGCTGTTTACAGTTTTAGCTTCTCTCCACTGGCTCCCTGTCAAATTCAGAATAKAATTTAAAATATTACTCCTAACATACAAAGCTCTTAACAACCAAGCTCCATCATATATTAAACATCTTATTGTTCCATACTTTCCTAACAGAGCACTTCACTCTCAGACTGCAGGTTTACTTGTGGTTCCTGGAGTTTCTAAAAGTAGAATGGGAGGCAGAGCTTTCAGTTACCAAGCTCCTCTCTTGTGGAACCAACTTCCAGTTTCTGTCCGTGAGGCTGACACTCTGTCTACTTTTAAGAATAGACTGAAGACTTTCCTTTTTGATAAATCATATAGTTAGACTTAGGTTTCCTGACTTATTCCTTAGTTTTGCTGCTATAGACTTAGACTGCTGGAGCACAAACTGAGCACATTTCCTCACTTTGTGGCGGTCATTTGTTTTACTAATGATTTTACTAAAGAGTTCTTTGGTTTTAAAAATGTGCCTTCAGGTATCACATTGCATATTGACAGTGGAAGCGTGTTTAACATTTTTTAAAAGAAAAAAAAATAGACAAAGTCCAGTTGCTGATGGCATGAGKGTTCACATTCTTATGAAATGTGTCCTGCAGCTGCAGACATTTTTTGTTTACTTTTTGTCATGTTTCTTCAAACTTATCGGGCTGGTTTTGCAGACAAGGATTAGATTAACACAGGAGTAGGCCTAATCTGAACCTTTTAAACTTGGGGATTTAAGCCGCTTGCATAAACATGGTTTAACTTTGTTTTGTTTAGTCTGAGACTATGGAGTCCTGAAGTAAGCCTGATGAAAACACCTGCATCAAGCCTCATTAGCCTAAGTGGGAGCACAGCCTGTTGTCTCACACACACACATTGTCCATAAATCGGGTTTATGGACAAAGTGTGTGGTGTTCTGAAAACAACATCGGCTACATACACAACTGGAGTTCTTTCTGGGGGAAACCTGGTCTGATGCGGAGAGATGGCATCCATCCCACCCTGACTGGAGTCGCTCTCCTTCTCTAAGAATCCAGCTGATTTTGTTGACCACAGAAATTATTGACAATCCAGGGTCCAGACTAGGAAGCAGAGTTGTGGACTTACACACATTTCTGCTGCTTCTCCTGTATTACCCACCCAAACCCCCATTAACAGTGCGTCAGCCCCATGGACCAAATTAAATAAATATGAAAACTATAGAAAAAAGTCATAAAAATCTTATAAAAATAAACACAGTTACTTTACCAGAACAAAACAATAAAACTAGTAGGTGTGGTTTCTTAAACRTGAGATCTCTTTCTTCTAAGTCAGTTAATGGTCTGATAACTGATCATCATATTGATTTATTCTGTCTTACTGAAACCTGGTTACAACAGGAGGACTTTTGTTAGTATAAATGAATCCTCTCCTGCTAATTATTTAAATTTTCATGTTCCCAAAACAACAGGTCATGGTGGAGGAGTAGCTGCAGTTTATAAGTCAGAACAATTAATTAATGCTAAATCAAATTTTAGTTATAATTAATTTGAGTCTTTGTCCCTCAGTCTTTCTCTTCCAAAATGGAAATCAGAAAAAACACTACTAATAGCTGTTATTTATTGTCCTCCAGGCCCTTGGTTTTTATCAGAATTCTCAGATTATTTGACTGATTTATTAATAAAT